CTATATATTCCTCCACAAATCCATCTGGATACAGTATGCTGGGAAAGGACGGTGTCTTTCTCCTCAAAAGTACAGTGAAATGGCTGCCTTGTGTAATGTAAACCACATTTTATTTAGTCCTATGGATGAGTAATGCTTTGTAGACAGTGCAAGGATTCTCAGATTAGATACAATAAAGGATTCTCCAGGATAGGAAAGAGGTGGTATAATAAACCTAAACAGTCTACCTCAATTAGATGTACTTGGAACAAGTCAAAAGTTCATTAGAAATGATCACCAATTTTCTTTTTGCTCCCCAGGAAATGCACTAATAGATTATTTGTGTACAATCCCAAGAAAGGAGACTGGAGAGACCTGGCTCCAATGAAAGTGCCTCGCTCGATGTTTGGAACAGCCATCCATAAGGGCAAGATTGTCATTGCAGGTGGTGTCACTGAGGAAGGCCTGACTGCATCTGTTGAAGCTTTTGATCTGACCACCAATAAGTGAGTGCAATATTCAAGCTACTTTAATCAAGTGTTTTATCATCTAGGCTTTTAGGAGCCCTGAGGTAAGAGTCTGCAAGCTGTTCAGGTAGCTATACTTCCACTGAGACATTTGGTCTGCAGTCACATGTTCAGCAACAACAGCAGCAGCTTACAGAGCAGGTCTGTAGATGTTTTTCCTGCACCTGCACACACTCCAATTATTACGCTAATGCCATTTTGTATGAAGCGTATTACTGAGCAATCAGGGAATCTGTAAGAAGTTGTCCCTGAGAAGAGATGTCTTAACAGTGTAATTGTGTCATTTAAGAGCTACAGAAGTCCCTGAGGGCATGGAGACACCAGAACATACTGCTGAGAGATCTCAGAACTTTTTTGTTTTATTAAACCATGGTCTTGGTACCTGAATTTGTTGCTCAGAGAAGTTTTAGTGCATTCAGTTTACAGTATTTCTTATGTGTTTAATTTGACTTTTTCTTTTGATCCTTAGATGGGAGATAATGCCTGAATTTCCCCAAGAGAGAAGTTCCATTAGTTTAGTCACTTTAAGTGGAGCTTTGTATGCTATTGGAGGCTTTGCAATGATTCAGCTTGAATCTAAAGAATTTGCACCTAGTGAAGTCACTGACATATGGAAGTAAGTTTCATTTTAGTCACTCTTTCCTGTCTAAAATTGAGGTTTGTAGACGCTGGAGGCTAATGCTATATTTCTGTTTGACTCTGAAAATGATCCATAGCACAAGCTGTAAAGCATTTGTTGACAGATAAAAAAGTTTGTCAGAAAGTAACAAATAATCATGAGACCTGGATCTAATGACTACTTCCACCTACTAATGATTTGACCAGTCCAAGTCACGATCTTCAGCTTCTTTAGAAGAGTAAATTGCCATCTCTTGGCATTTTTAGCCTTGCCAATAAAAACTTTCTTTTGTGGCACTGTGATGCAGAAAAGGATGTATATACAGAGGCCTGTACATACTGACGTGTTGATGGTCAAATGAGTAATGTTCCAAGAGAATGAGAAGTCCCTGTCTCCTGGGGTTTTTTGATCTAATCACAGCAGCAGTGAGACATCATATCTCTGCTGCAACTCTCAGTTGCCTATGTAAATTCAGAAGCTTTAGTTGGGAATAGGAAGGAAAACACCCCAACTTTATGTGCAAGAATCTGAAGAAATTCAGAAGGGATGCTTAAGGGGGAAGCTTTTTTAAAGCATGACACAGGTCAGCAACAAGCTTTAGGGACCAGGAAAAGAACAGCTTGTGTACAAGAACATCTTTCTGTTCTGGAGGACAAAAGCAGCCTTTCTTGGCACCCTTGAGCACACAGTTGCTACAAGCCTTTGCAACAGGTGCACTATCCTCCTTTTCATATATGTGTGCTGAAGCATCGAACTCAAATTTAAAGAAGCTATTTTCTAACTTCTTTTAAAATGCAGGTATGATGATGAGAAGAAAGAATGGGTTGGCATACTGAAAGAGATCCGATACGCTACTGGAGCCTCCTGCCTGGCCACACGCTTAAACCTCTTCAAGTTATCAAAACTGTAAACAAAATGCTGGAAGATGTGATATGGTGAGGGAGTTCTGGCAGGCTCTTCTGGTTTTGTTGCATGAAAATGTCCCCAAATTGTACAGTTTTATAGCAGCATACTAGTCCTACTGGGAACTGTTAAATAGTCCATTTGTCTGTCCAGTTCTTAAGATACTTTCTAGCTAATCAGCAACCACAGAATTTTTGCCCGTGTTTAAATTTCTGAAGGGTTATAATTAATGTTGATTAGATTAAGATTTCGCTCTGTGAAACAGCAAACAACACTAGTTAACCTTCCTTGCACTCAATGCAATCCAGTTATTGGTGGTTTGTCCTCCAAACAATGTGCATGAATTAATTGTTAAGTTAAATACAACTAATAGGTAGCTAATTTTATTCTAACTGGCTGTTTGTAAGGCCAGATTTCCCCTTTTAGTAACATATGTAAATCCTTCACTCTTCAGCAGTATCTTGGAAATATTCTCATCACAGACCTCAAAAAATAATTTAGCTTGGAATTGAAATGAATGTTTTAAACAAAAGTGGCTTAATATTATGTGGCCTAATAAATGCCAGTTTCAGCCAAAGCTATAATAGTAGACAGAGGAGAGGGTAGAGAGAGAAGTTCATAAGGTTAGTAGCTCTACTGTTTTACCTACTGTGTTTAGACTTCTGATAACAAGGATTTTCCACTTTTTTAATGCTTTTATATTTATTTCCAAAGCAAATATTTTATGGAAGTTTTTCTCAGAGATCTGAGGTCCATAGCAAGCATTCATGAAAAAGTCCTAAAAGAGCTATTTTAGCAAATACCTGTGCCAGGGAGGACTTTTTCATTTACTATAGAGTTGATGCATTTTGATGTTGAAACTTTTAACAATTAAACTTTGTTTCTAAAACTATAAAAGTATCACTTGATGGCATCCTTTTTTAGTGATTAGCTCATCATCACTATCATACTGACAGGACACAGATCTCTTAGTACAGCCTTTGCCCAAAATAAAGCACTCAGTTTTCTTCTTCTTCAGAGCTTACTTACCATTTTTTTTGTCAAGTAGCTCTTCAAAGGATTTCTCCATTGCATAAAGAGGCTGACATCAATCTAAAGGATTTCATAAATTTAAATCTAAATTGGAAAAGAAGGCTACCACACCTGATTGAACAGCAATGCCAGCTATCACATGACCTTTTGCATTGCCCTCCCATGAGACAGAAGTAAACAAATGCAGAGGCACAGCCATCATATTCATTTCAGTGTGTTACTGACCACTAGTACTTAATCTGGGGGGCACCTTCCCTTTAGTACCCAAATCTGCAGCTGTGCTTAGCACCTATGTTTATTGGCTCCAATTAGATGACTGGTTTACACCACTCCTCTGCTCTAACACTTGCTGATTTAATACAGAAAGAATGAGTGCAAAGAGTCAAGAACAACACCTTTTACTGAATTGTTTTTTGGTTGGGTTTTTTTTTTGCTTTTCTTCAATACCCTTTCTGGACCACTCATAACAAGTTTTAATCCTCTTCCCATTGTGCATACTCATAACTTTATCCACACAGAATTTGAAGAAAACTGGCTTGGTACAGTGACTGCTAGAACCCTGAAAAGCAGGGTTCAGCTCAAACATGACCACTCTGACTGATAACTTCAGCCTCTGACAAGGCTGTGTGGCTGTGACACTCCAAGGCTGCTGCTTGAAGGCTGTCCGTACAGAAACAGAGTCATGCAAGAGTCTTTGACAGGTAGTCCACCTTCTGAAATACTAACCTATATTTATGATTGTCTTCTCCATTTTATACAAAATATAACGCACACAGAATCTTTCTATGTGCTGTGCCTTCTATGTGCTGTGCCTTCAATGACATTTCCTCAAAGCAGTCCTTACATCTTGGAGCCTTTGTCCATTTGATAACCCTAAGTGTCTACACTACTAGATTTGTCAGTTATCCCACAAACATGAGGGCTGCCTCAGGAGGAAAGTACCTTACAGCTTAGATCAGTTCTGTTGGTTTTTCCTGACTTTCCATTCCTGTCCCGACTTGTATTCAGTTAATAAAACATTTTTCTTCTGCTACTGAATAATAGAAAAAAAGGTGACAGCCAAATGCATAATGGCCAATTCAGATATGCAGTTGCTTATCTCTGCCAGGTTTCAGGTGATGTGATAAAAGAATGTGTCCTGTTTCTACTAAATGAGCAAGAAAACATCTCCTCTTGCACATGTGAGAAAACAGGCACAGCTGGCAGTCACCCTAAGCTGATGGCAGCTGTAGGCACAATATGGCTGCCTCTGGAAATGGGATGATTTGCCAAGCATGACACCCCTGCAGTTACTGCTCTACAATGAACATTCTCCTGGCTATTCCACTTCTTCCTTCTACATCTCAGTGTCTTACACCTCCTGCACAAACCCTGGCTGGATTTTCCAGTATGTTAAGGTGTTCCACAAGGCTCAGCCATTCTTCTGCACACACCAGATCACAGAGTAGGAGAAGCAGCTGGAGGTTCCTCACCACCCAATACTCTCCCCACAGTACCTCTGTTCTGAGAATGGAAACTGAATGGCTCTAAAAGCAGCCTTATTCTTAGAAAATGTGTATTTCAGTTTCTTGGTTTCAGAGTACAGATACTGTTTGATTCCTAGCTGCTCATTCTGTCACATAGTGGAGGACAGACATAGTTTCCAGTGGATTGCTGACTCCACTCTCCTAGTCAACAGTATTTCCAACTTTTTCTGTGAAGAGTTTTATGTCTGGCTAAGCCTCTGAATATTTTTTTAGGAAATAATAATGTAATATGATTGCAAAACTGCCAGATTCATGTGCTTGTAATAGCTTCCAGATAATGAGAAATTGTAAGCATCCTTATCACATCTTCACAGCCCACTGTGACCTCCCTTTTGTAATCCCTAACGAAATGAGAATTAAATCTCTTTACTTGTGATGACCTTGGCAAGCCTTGGCCCACCTGATACAGATAAAGAGATTTTATGAGATGTTTAATGATACATAAACTGTTTTCATAAAAATACTTTAGACTGCATGTCTGATATCACTGTATTCCATACAGCTGCTGTCTCAGGTATTCCAGCTGTTCACTTTTTGTTGACAGAACCATGGAATTCCATTCGAAGTGAGGAATCTGTAGAACAGAATGGTATAAGCCATTTAACATTGCTATAAGCTACATACCACATAAGAGCAAAGAAAAGGCTCTCTGATATCTGTTGTTCTTCACTTGAAGATATTTACCACCTCTCAAAAGCCTGGCTTACTCCAATACTGAAAAGATCCATTTCTTATTGTAAGATTCTCCTTTATGTAGGTACAGTCAGTCTGCTTCTAAAAAGCAGCAGAGTTGCAGAGATATAAAACAGATATAAAACACAATATAGGCTGTGACAACTCCATTACACTCTCTTTTAAAACACAAAATGAGAGAAAAATCCCAGGTCACTGCAGTTTGTAATGCTAATGTAGCAGACTGGAATGTTGTATCAGTAGTGTAACATGAAAAAGGATAATTATTCTGTTCACAAAAACAACAACCAACAAAATTTAAGCTTAAAGAAGGATTCTAGCTAAAATTAGGTTAGGTGAGTTGTTAAATATATAGGAACCTCTGCATTAATGAGTCTTCAATTCCCAAATGTTTCAGTGCTGGTGGTGAATTATGTCTGACCTTTGGTGTTCCCTGTCACAGCACTGTCACTGCAGCAGACAAACAGCATCCATATCCTAGCTGGCAGCTGCCAAACTGCCTTACCACTCAAGGAGGGTATGTTCAATCCTTTTCTACCATAGAGATCTTCAGTGAATTGAACTGAAACTCTCATTTGACTTTTTCTCCTTTACTCAGGCTGCAATGAGATTGCTAGCTTGCCTGCAGTAAGGTTAGAGTGGGACCTTTTCACTTCAGCTTTGCTTCACCCTCTTTCAGAGAAGGTGTGAGGTCTGCGAAGTCCTTACACCATTTTGAGAACAGCTTAGAGCTTCCTCCCTAACTACAAAAATTGCTCTCTCCCAGTAAGTACTTTTAATGATAAAACTGCTCTACATCTGCTGGATCATTTTGCAGTGCTGATACAATCCAGAAAGGACACAAAGCATTGCTGAGTGCTCACCTGAACGACTCGGTACCCCAGCATTTCCAGGTGTCGCTTTTTCACTGCAGGTTCTCCTTTCAGATGACGTGAATAATCTTTGCTAAAAGCTTTTGAATCAAGAAATTCCAAAGCAATTCTGCAAAAAGTAAAAATGTGCATTTACTTCCACATCCTACCTGAATAGCAAGAAGTGACAGCTCTAGTTCAATACTGATAGTTACAGCAAGACTAGATAAACCTGACAATTATCAGAAAACAAAAATTAAACAACTCCCTGGAATTAGACAAAACATTTTCCTCCTATTTATCTAGAGATACTTGAATTCAGAAAAAGCATTTTCTCCCTGCATCTGTTTTTGTTTCAATGGTAAAAACAACTAACCAACATTTTCAAGGCTTGCATTTGAAAAGGTGGGAGGAAAACAGTATTCCAATCTCATGAAACACATGTCAAGAACCTGTACTGAGTTTGGCTGGGATGGAGGTACTTTTCTTCAGAGCAGTTGGTAAGATGCTGTGTTTTGAACTTGTGACCAGAACTGTCAATAACACACTGATATCCTGGCTACTGCTAAAAAGTGCTTGCACAGCATCAAGGCCTTCCCTGTTTCTCCCTGTGCCCACAGTGCATACAGGCTGCACTGACAAGAGCAAGGGACACAGCTGGGAGCTGCCTGAAGTGGTGTTTCACACCATACAACATCATGCTCAGCAGTAAAGCAGAGGGGACTTTATCCCACACAGCCATTGCTCTGGCACAGCTCTGCTGTAGGTCAATGACTGCATGGCCATCCATTGCTTTGTTTCTCCCTCCCCCTTGTTTTTCCTCTCCACTTATTAAACTGTCTTAATTGCAACCCAGGAGTTTTCTTCCTTGCTGTTACCCTCCACGTTCTTTCCCCCATCACACTGCAGGGACATGAGCCATGTCCTGCAAATGGGAGGGAGCAGATGTGGCTAACCCAGCACACCCCAGCAGGCTAAACCTCATTAGACTTTGGAAAAAGGAACAGAACATTAGAACATGAGCATCAAAAACCCAGTCTAAAGTGGATGTAAGCTTGGAAGAGCCAAGGTGCAAGAATGTACTGACCTTTGAGCTCCTGGTGGCAGAGCCTTTCTCCCTTCATCCTTGAAGTCATGTCTCAAGGGTATATCCCCCACACTACCCAAAGCTATATTCTGAGCCATATAGGAAAGAGGCTTTTTATTTACATCTAGGACACACTCAAAATCTGCCAGAAAACAAAACAAACCTGTTTACTGACAAAATAAAAATGGAAGAATTTGATCTGTACAATGTTTACTTGTAGAAAAACAGATAGCCATAATTAGGAGATACCCAACATTATTAATACTACAAAGAACATTTTGGAAACTATATTTTATACAACAATTTCTTCTTTGCAATATCTTGTGTTATTTTGAGGCCATATGACCAAGAACTTCCTAATCTTGGTAACAAGAGTGATATGAAAGGACTTCATAACAATTTTAGAGTATGAACTTCTCACCTATTTCATAGTAGTACGGTGTGAGAACAGATACTCTTGAGTAATGGCTCCCTCCTAAGATCTCTGTCAGCATTCTGTGAATGTGCTGTCGCTGTGCATTTATTTGGCTCATGCCTACAAAGACAAAATAAAGAATTCATACATAAAAACTTCCACAGCCAAAATTCTGAAAATAGTGCTGTGAGACATTGTATTTTTGACAGCCAGGCTACTGAATTAAATCTTTTCCACAGATCCCGAGTGCTATTCCATCATAATTCAGAGACAAAGTGATCATATTTTAGCTAGAAAGTGGCAGGTGCATGCTATTAAGTAAATTTCAAATCCAGAGTTTAGATCCCAGGATTTTTTCATTCACATACTACAAAACCTCAAGTTTTAGGTTTCACCTGGTGGATTTTGTTTGCTTTTAGTTATGTTTAGACATGTATTTACTCACCTTGGGTTGATTACAGCCATACCCCACTATCTGCCACTTCTCTGTCCATTGCAGATTAACACCCTGCTCCATTAAACATCTTCAGGCTTAGAGACAAAGCAGCTGAGTTCTGTGGATAGCACAGCAGATCTCCCCATGAGAATTAGTGGAGGAGAGCCTGTGTTTGCATTTGATGGATTCTGAATTGATTACTGTTCTGAAAGTTCTCAGCTGCTACACTTGATCACTAGCCTACTTCTCTGTCTCTCATCCCTGACGGATCTTGATTGTTGTGAGGAAAAAGGGAGGATCAAGTTCAAAAGGAGGCAGTAAAAATGTTTACCTTGAAAAATTTAAGTCAAATGTTCAGTTTTGTAAGTGAAGCAGGGAGCAAAACGACCCATGTCTCCAGTACAGGATGATCTTCCTGCCTTTCCATCCTTCATGCCATATACACTGTTTCTGTGTATTTAAATTTTAATTCTTCTGCAGAAATATCCCATCTCTACTACATTAATTCTCACAAGGAAAACCAGTTTGCTCCCAGTTGCACTAGTAAGTGGTTGCACTACAAAATGCTCAGCAGAGAGGGGTGTGCCTTCTATTGTGTGCTAGTGTCAGTATGACAGCTTTAGAAGAAATATCTAGTATATTTCTAAAAAGATAGACTATTGTGAGTAACAAGGGCAGCTTTCCTGCCCTAAATGACTTACTGTTATGAAAGACACGTTGGCAGTATGGCTCATGAAACCAAGGGATGTGAAACTCTGGGCATTCCAGACAGACTGCTCTGTTCAATTTCATGAGGCTCGAGTGGACCCTCTGCTTCACCGTATCAGGCAGCACTGATTTAAAAAACAAAACAAAAACAACATAGAAAAGTGTGAACTGAAATGTGAAAAATCCAACAAATTGAACTAAATGGTAACCTCTGAATCCTTTACTAGAAATGCAAATATCTGTATACTATGGCATTTCTACAACTCATGCTGCAGAATTTTAGAAAGGTTCTCAAAATCCCTGAGAAAATAAATGAAAAAACCACAGTTCTGCTCAACATTAAGAACAACAGGAAGACAGAAGACAGAAATTGCTTCTATTGTGTAAATTTAATTAAGTAGTTGAGGGCAAAATGGCAAGAGTACACTGATAATGAACAACATAAGAGGTAGAGAGGAATGAAACAGTCAAGCACTCAGCCTCTTATTTAGAGAGAAGAGACAGGTAGGATACATTTCTTGAAGACAAGAATCCCACATTATTCCTTCAGCTTTGTGACTACTTCTAGTAATAAACACCACAGTCAGGTAATTTTATTTCCAATAAAATTGAAGAATTAATAAATACTGAGTGCAATAAGTTGACTATAAAATTAATTTTATATTACTTTCTCTCATCTGCAATACAGGTCTGTACTTTTAAAACAGAAAACATATTTTTGTTCATTCCTGCCCTTTAAGCACTCTAACTATGACTATATTATAAAGAGGGTGTCTTTCACAAAAGCAGAATCATTTAAAGAGTAATTCTATATCTCAAGTCATATGTAAGTCCAAATTGCATTTTATGCCAAATGCTACACAATCAAATTCATCAAAAGCTAGATATCTACCTTTAAGTTCAGCATCCAGTTTGCTTAGGAAAGAAACATTAAATATGGTCGTTATCAGAACTGGAGGAAAATACCCAGCCATTGCCAAAACATGACCAAGCAGCACCAAGTGATAATTTTCAAGATGACCTTGAAAAACCAGAGAGAAACCCATATTAACACATGACAAAGTTGAAAGGATTTGCAATGCCCTTTACCTGGCCTCTCAAATCACCTGATTTTCCCTCTTAATGTACAACACAAATCCATACACACTTCCTCCACAATTTTAACTATTTCTTTGTCATGAATCACAAAATGTATCCTGTTCCCAAATGATGTTTCTTTGGGGAACACAACAATTCTAACCAATAACAGCACAGTGAATTAATCAGAACTTTCACTTATCTTTTACTATGCCAAAAAATCCTTTGCTAGTCCCTTATCAAGAGTAATTTTCAGCAGGTGAAACAAAACCTAAAATTGAATATTTGTCATGGTTTAACCCCAGCAGGCAGAGTATTAGCAGTAACATAATTCTCTTTTCTTTGCTTAATCAAAGAAAAGATTTTTCATTTTCATTCAGTAAAAATCTTTGTCTATTGCACTTACTCAAGTTAGAAGTAAGATGTTGGATACAACTCTTAAAGAATTCTTCATTGTCAGGAGGGTCATAATTCAAAGCAGAGAAAAGGAAGAGAATAAAATAGATTTCAGAGGTGAGAATCTGAAAAAAAAGACATCCTAAATCAAGTTACTGCAAAATATCCTACTATAGCTTTATAATAAAGAAAAGCTTTATAATTAATTCAGAATTTGGAGATTTAGGAGTAGACAAACTATTTTCGAATTTTTTTTCTCAACTTTTCTGAATAACAAAAAACAAAATTGTTGAAATTGGAGCCACAACTAAAACTTCAAATTTATTTCATGTAGGTGATCCAAGTGTTTCTATACGCTTAAAGAATCTTTTAGAAGGTTTTGCATTAAATGTTCTTAAAGAAACTAAACTGCAACAGAATAAACTTGAAGATTTATATGAACACCAGATTGGGAAGCAAGACAGTATGAAAAAAAGAGTAATTTTGACCAAATAGACAGGCTATTGGGGAAATCCCCACAACAATTAATAATGTTAAAATATCCACCGTGTGATGTGACTATTTATTAAGTTTAAAAAAAATTAAGATGGTCAAATGTAAAGTTGAATGTAAATTATGGCTGACCTAACACTGAGTGAACAATAAAAAAGAAATGAAAATTAATGATAAATGCAAATTTATACACATAGAAGTAAAACAGCTTTAAGTAAGCAGAAAAAAAAATTATCTCCAAACCAGCTACTTTGAAGAAAACTCTTAAAAACATGTGTGGATTGTGCTCTGAAACACATCAACTACTGATGTGTCCTTTCTTACTGAATAACTCACAGTAGATAGAAAGAAAAACTGGGACACCTTGTCTATATTTTCAACAGTCACAGATGCTATTCTGTCAAATAATGCAGGACAACGGTGCTCTGATTTGATGAGAAAAAAAGACAAGGGTAAAACATTTGCCCATGTTATTTGATCTATCAAGTGCTGACACATGGCCAGAGTTTCCTCATTCAGGACTTCTTCAAACCACTCTCCATTCACATATGGAAGCTCTTCCAGCAGAAGATTTAAGTTGTTGGCTTTCTGAAGCCTCTGAAATGCACAGTCATTGAGTTTTTGCAGAAGCTTGGCACACAGCTCAGAGCTGTTCTGCCAGTGAAACTGGCCATGATGGTTCCACTTGATAAGAGCTGTAGCAATGCAATTCAAATGATGCAGTCTGCATTGAGGCAAAGCTGCTGCTGCTTTGTTTATAATCATTTCCTCCACTTGGAAAGAAGGAAGCATGGCAAGAACACGAATTACAGCTGCAGTATCAGCAGGTATCACACTAGATTTCAAATAACTGGAAGAGAGATAGAAATAAAAGTCCATCAGTAGTGACAAAGTGCAATATTTAAACAAAACAAAACAAAAAAAAACATGCTTGAAACTTCTAATTTAGAAGTCAAAACCTGCACATCAAATATAAATAAGAAAAATATTAATGACTTGGCAGAAATCTACACATCTTTTTTCAGTGAGATTAACTTCTTCCTTCTAATTTATTCAAAACTGAAGAAGGGGAAGAAGACAGTGAGCAGCTCAGTCAGCTGGTGAGGCTCCACTTGTTACTGATAATCACAGAAGTTCTTAGTAAGGCCAGAAGGTGCACATTTGTCAAGGTAATCTGTGGGTTTATGGGCCTGGGTAATTTCTGTGATTTCTGTCCTAGGGAGCACCAGGTTTCAAGGAGTCTGAGGAAAATGAGGACATCATCCACCAAAAAAATATGTACAGCCAAGGCTGAATATTACATTCCCATAGAGGTGAGCAATCAAAGCAAGATCTCTTGTCTGACAACTTTCTGTTCTATAGAAGCCTAAGAATTAACTGGACAGTTCTTCAATCAAAAGAGCACTTCTGGGTCACACTTTCACCTGTCCCAACCAAGGCATTCTGTCTCTTTTTCATTACTTCTTCTGTCAAACATCAAATACAATATTAATATCTACCCATCCTATCAAATACCAAGCAAAATTTATTGTCATTACAACATCATTATATTACAGTGGTAAGAAGAAAAAGGGAAAAAATATTTTTAAAAGGTACCATATATATTAGCAGATACTGTTGGATTTCTAGTCAAGACAACATTTACTTTCCATCATCTGATTTACAAGTTTAATAAATCAAATACTTGTAACAAGTTTGTTACTTCTTTGTATTTTATGGGTAGAACACTAACATCTTAGACTGCTATTTAAAATCTTGAGTAGAAAACTGATTAAAACTCAGATAGCTACATTTCCAAGAATACACACTTACCCTAATAGTAACATTTTTAGTTTGGCAAACAGCTCCACATCCTGGCAATGCAACACCACCAAGTACTGCGTTAACTTCACCAACTGTAGTACATGATAGCTGCCCAAGTGTTTGTGCAGAACAGAAGCCATCCTGAATTCAAAGAGGAAAAGATTACATGGTAAGATAACACAAAAGATATTGCAAACTCCAACATGCCACATGCAATAGAGGTGTCTTGTGATGCACAGTACCTGTGGGAAGGGTTTTACACACCTGCACTCATCTCCACATTGATTCTGACACTATTCCACTTAGAGCAGCCTCTCTCCACTTACTGAATTGCAAAATTAAAGCCACACAACAAAAATTAAAGTCATCACAATAAATCAGCTACTTCACACTACTAATTTCTGTTGCAGATTTCACAATCAGTTCAATTTAGAGTGGACCCAGAACACAGACTAGAACAGCACCAGCAGCTCAAGCACCACCACATTCACATAACAGTGGTAGCTACAGCTGTGCTGGTCTGAAGCTGCAGAGGGGGATAGCTTTGTAGGGAAAGATAATACTTTAAGACTGTCTTTAGACAGTGAGACTCAGGAACAACAGGCATTAATTCACCTGATCTTCCTTTTAGTATCCCTTTGTGCCACAGAACCTTTTTCTTTCAAGGATCTATTTGATTCATACAAGTACCTTCAATCCAACAACTGTTCACAACCTGCACTTAATTCTGCTCTATCTCTGACATATCTAATGCTACATCTTCTGTGCCTAAAACATTAACTTCTTTTCCATTCACTGTATGACAGACACTACCCCTCCTTATAAATAGTTTTCAGTTCAAAACTGCAGAAAATGTGGCCCAGGTTCTAAAAAACACAAGCTTTATGAGTCCAAAAAAGGACACAGTGACTTTTGAAGAAATAATTCACAAAAGTAACAGGATCTTCAAGACAGGATATGTTCTCTGCAATTTACCAGATTTCATTTGCACTCTCCCGAGTTTACAGTAATTGTTAAAGGTGAAGTTTATCACAGATTTGTAAGTTAGACAGATGCTATACAACAGTAACTTGGTAAGGGTGAAATGCCTTTCTTTGAAATCCCTAAATTGCCTCAATTACTTCTGGGTCAAGCTGCAATATTCTAGAATCTGTAATAGCCAATAAGTTATAGTGTATAAGAACTTGTGTGCAAGTGATGCTCCTAACTCACTGGATATGTCAAAGTTTTCCACACTAAATGGAAGTTTACCTAGAGAATACAACATTTAGTAATATCAAAACCATTACTTTTTGAGTAGATGAGAATTTCTGCATTTCATTTTCTGCATAGTTTTCAGTATCATCAATATTTGGTGACTGCTAAATTCCTCTGCCATGTTTACTGCAGTTATCAGCAACCTAAAGAGGAAAAGACAATTTCCAATGAAAAACAGTTGAAAATCTCTGGCAAACATTGCAGCCATTTTCTTTACCTATGAGGAAAAGAACCAAAGACTATTTCTGGAAGCAAAATTATCCCAAACTAGAGACTTTTGTTCTGTGGACATTTCTTCTAAACAGCTGGTCTGTCTAGCACAAATAAAGGGGTGTGAGTGTGTTGGATCAGTGCATCTTGCTCTGATGCTAGAAAACAGCAAGTCCAACAATTCTAAAAGTAGACAAGAAGTAGGGAAGGTACTCTAAGACACAGAACAATTCATGATCAATCAGCAAGCTACAGATAACAGAATCAAACATGAACTGAACTGGTTCTGTGTTAATTCAATCCAATGTTTATCACAAACAATATAAATAAATAAAAAAAAAGAAAAGCTTTTGGAACTACATCAGCTATGGCAAACCAACAAGGCTTGCAGCAAATCTCTGAATAAAGGAAATGTTCACGAAGACAAGTATGAAAATATGACTCATTGTAATTAATACAGAAAATTCTGCCTAGAACTGCAGGCTTTGAGAGATCCGTGAGTAATATCACCCCCAAACAGGATTTTGTGGCACAAGAAAAACAGGCAGAGAAAAAAAAAAAGTGCCACACAGTCCTGTGCTCTAAATAAATGCTGAAGTGTTCCCTGATGACGATCTTTCATAAAGAACAGGATGTCAGCAGTCTAGAATAGGACAAGACTCAGGCTTTTTCAGCTACTGACAATCTTAAAAAGCAACACATATCACTGCATATATTTCTTAGAAGAAAGACAGAAATGTTTTTACTACCACCCAGTGTTAAAGGAAGGATGTAATCTAAGAGACAGAGCTACAGGATGGCCTTGCATAACAGCATTCACACCCCCCTTAACTGATGGATCTGATTCAGCTTCTTAATAAAACATACTGTTTGACAGTGTTTCCATGATGAAATCATCCATTGCTACACTGTTACAACCAGGAAACCTAAGGCTCAGCTCACAGATGGGCTCAGAAATTCCTCCAAACACCAGTACATTTTTAATTTCTGAGTAAGAATATGTGTATCATAAATAAGACAAAATGATTAATAAACTTACCTTTCTCTAACCTTGGGTCCTGCCAAAGGTCCAAGAGAAAAAAATAATTTTGCAAATGTTTCAGGATCATAATAATCATCTATAGCTTCAGATAGCAGCTGTTTAGCAATCAAGCGAAATTCAGCACTGCCAAAACCCAGCTGCTCATACAGTCCAAAAATATGACTAATACTGTGTATATCAAGATGGGAGGCACTTTTAAGGAAAATCCTGTTGCATTTTTCTAGCACTGGATGATATCTCAGTTTAACATTTTGGAGAAACTGTAGTATTCTTCTGGCATAGTTGAAGTGGACTTCGAGCTCTTCTTCTAAGAGCTGTTCAGCCTTGTGTAGTAATCGATCTCGAAAACTCTCTGTGATAACTTCAGATATGCTGATCATCAACACTGACAAGATCCTAAAAAATTCAAAAAGTCTCCTATTTACACAGTGAATATAGTAAGCAATACATTTTATATTTATTAACTGAAGTGCAAAAAGAAATTAATGGGAGTTCAGGTGTTGTTGGCTTCTGTGCAAAAAAAAATTTAAATCCTATCCAGAAAACATGGATGAGTAAAAACCATTTATCCTATTAAAGATTCGGCTTTCAGTGAACTTCTGAAATGTCTGAAATTATTTAAAATTTTCAGCCATCTCTTACAAAGTTACACATGATGAAAGCGTTTGCCCAAAGCAAGACCCTGATTCATATTTGCTGAAATATCTTTAATGTTCAATAGACACTAAAAAAGCCCAAACAATTCACAAGTGACAGGATGGGGAGAAGAGTCATTGTCACTCCTAAAGAAAGAATGCCTTCCTAAGGGGATGAAACTTATGACCATACAGAAAGTTATTTCACTAAAGAAATGCAGTCCTGTTCAAAGAGTTTCATAAGCAGGCTCCTCATATCTGAAAAAAATCAGTGGGACTGCTGGTGCTATATAAAGCAGAAGAAAGACAGAGAAGCCTTTGCTGTAACAGCCCCAGGGGAACAGAAACAAGAAAAAAATTATATTGGTCCTCTTTGACTAGAGCTGTGCTTAAAGTAGTTTAAATATGAAGGTAACGTGCTAGACATGCTAGCAAGAGAATTTATTAATTCAGCTTGACCAGAAAAACAATGCTCTGAAGATAAATAAACACAATATTGTTTTAAAACCTCTTACTGCCGTCAGCAAAGACATGTCATGGTAGACATGAGAAACTATCAATGTCAAGGGAGAAAAAGGGAGAAAAGCTTCTTCTGGTGAGTCAATAGCCTCTAAATTACAAAAAAAAGTCCATGTTTAGAATCAGAATAATGCTGATTGTAAATATCTGCTGTACCATGGAAATTAATTAAATTTCTATAAACTAAACAATCAAGCTGTAGTTTCAATCATTTAGACTGGTTATAAGGAAATTCTTCGTAAAGTCATTGGGAAAATGTATTCTCTTGTGAATCAATGCACAAATACAAAATACTTCGTTCCCACAAACCCCCAGCTGAAGCAAAGTAACCTCCAGCGGAGAAAAAGGCAAAGTCTTCAGAAAAGACAGACCAGTAATTGCAACATTTTGTTTCTTCTGCTTCTGACACTTACCTTATATCCTGTATAGAATCCAGTTTCGTGTCCACAATATGAGCTACTTGGCCAATTATGGGACTGAAGTGCCTGTGCTGCTTGTATAAGCACAGAGAGAATTTAGACAGGCAAGGCAAGCTAAGCCTGTCAAGACATTAAAGACAGTCAGACACGATATCTACCTTTTATTTCTAATCAATAATTAAAGACAAAAATATTTTTTAACAATTCTGTAAAAACCAAGGTTACAGTCAAATTACAAAACAAGGAAACAAAGTATCTAAGCAAAAAACCTAGGTGTTTAATATTAAAGCATGTTGTGTATATGGAGTTCTACAAGAATTGGTTGTACTTCACTTAACCAGCCTGAGAAATCTATAAAGATTATACAGATTTCAAGATCTCAAGCAATTATGTCAAATGGATAAAATGAACGTAAGCAATATATTACTTGAATATAAATATTGTTTTCAAGCTACACTGTATTTATTTACTTCAAGATGCTCCAGATATAAAGAAGAGGCAATTCTGTGGTGCGGGTGCCGAGACTGACACTCAGTTCTGCCATTATCCCAAGATTAAAGAGTCAAAACTACAATATCCCTCCTCCAAAAAGGACTCAAAAGACAACAACAAAATGCACAAAGAGAAAATGTTGATGTTTAAACACAAAATGTTTTATAAAAATTGAGATAAGCATGGTTCTAATAACCATTTAAGACCTGGACAGCAAGCACAGAGGTAAAATTGTAAATATGAAAACCTGCAATTCACTTCAAATACATAAACCTACACAGACAATATATTCCAAAATCTCAAATGCTGGACTATCTTGTTGCAGTATCTGAATCTCTCAAGCATTTGTGTACCAAATAATTTGTATAATTTTCAAAACCTTCAAAAATACAACTGACATTTAAAATAGGCATATTATATTTTAAACATATGTACTCTTTGAGAACTCTTGAGTAACCTCACATGAAGCAAATCATGCTTGCAACTTATACCTTTCACAAAGCATAGCAGGACAATACTTGCCTCTCTAATCTTTTCCATGCTTCTGTAACAAGCACTTTTGTTAGAGAAACGTGGTCTTCAACATTGAGCCTGCAAAATAAAGACAATGCTTTACTTCAATAGTTACAAGGAAATAACACATATGTCTTTTCATTATTGATCGCAATGTTTTACTTTTCTATCATTCTCTCCATTCAAACAGATTGTAAACATTTGTGCATGAATAATCAGAATTCATAATAATCATAAAACATATTTAATGGGACTGCAAAACACATCTGTTCTGCCTGTATCTCCAAAAGTGAGGCACAGGACATTATGCTGTGTCACACAGTCAAGAGTGCAGAAGCTGCAGCAGGGCAGCCTCATCACAGTCTCCTTATGAGAAAGCTCTGTAGCCAAAATTCCTTATCTTTTTAATACCAAATACAAAGAGTATTTAATGCTCTTTACCTCAGGATGCTATATAAGGTGTCCACTATCACCTCATCTTCCATGAGCTCCACCTTGTTTTCTGCCAAAACGCAAAGGGCGAGAAACTGGGAGTGATTTCTTACATAGTCACTAGTCCTTGAGAGAAAGGGCCTCTTCTTTTGCAACTGCCACAGCATGTTCAATGCAATTCCCACGTGCTTTTCAGAAAGTCTGGCCTTGTTTCTTCCAACAAGGTTGAACACTTCATCTTCATGGGTGCAGCCATTTATCTGGCTCAGAAGCACATCACTACACAGAGCCCGAGCTTGGTAACGCCTCAGTGTCAGCAAGCAAACCTGCCTCAAACAAAGCATTTTGCTAATCCTACCAGCCAGCTTTAAATTGTCCAGAAAGATTCTTCTTTCACTTTTCACAGAAAGCCATGCTGTTACAGACAACAAACTCAAATATTTGAAAAACAGAAGACCATTTTTCTTTGAGCCTGTATGGTCACTTTATTAAGAAGAAGTCAATTCTGAGGTACCTGAAATGAGAAAGTATCAAAGTGCTTAATTTCAGTCACAACAACAAAGTAAAAATCAGTGTCTCTATATTATGCTGTTTTAAGTAAGATAAACTGAAGGAGAACCTACAGCCTGGACTGTTCTCATAGAAAAGCTCCCAACATCGAACACTGACATGCTCACAAGTACTGTGAAGTTAGTCCACTTGGTAAGTTTTCAAATTTATAAAACTGCCTTTAAAAGGTCACATGTGCTATCAATGTAACTACTGAGAAGGAAAAGCTGAAGATTTTAACATTCCAGCACTGCATGACTAAGGGAGGCTTGCTCTCACTAGGCCATAATCCCAAACTGGGTTCCAGGAATTGCCAGAAAATCCAACTATTGGTGGTAAAATAAAGTGAGATGGTTTCTAGTCAAGAAGGTTGATCACCACCTTTGTATTACAGGATACTAATCAATCACATACCATCAGCTGAAATTGCCATTGCACTAAAGAAAAGCAACCTGATTCCAAATTATAATAGAAGCTACAGCCTTATCTAATGAAATTTATTAAGTATTAATTTGTTTTCTTAGAATATACCCCAATTTGTACAGAGTGCTAACAACTATGTTCTACAACCTACATAATTGATTTCAAGCTGGAGTACACAAACCACAAGTGATAAAAGCCTTAGTACACCAAAGAAGCCTCATCAAGTTCCCTGAACTTAGAGATCATGGAAAAGCTTGCAAATCTTGCTTTAGAAGATATAATCATTAACAACTAAAATTATCAATACCTTCAGCAAACCTGAATGCTCTTCAACTGTAGGCATGATTACAACAGTGCAATGTTATCAAGGCGATGGCAGCAGTACCCACTGAGTCTGTTGAGAAAGAAAAAACCTTATTTGTGCAGCCTGTGCAAGGTACTGAAATCATTCCAGAAAGACGGGTATAGGTGGATTTCCTGTGACATCTGTACAATCCTCTTCCTAGAACAAAAAGCTATACAGCACATTGCACTACACTGCTCTCACTGACACTGGGGCAGACACAAGCAAAGCTAAAATTAAGTTATGATCTGCTATAATAAGAAATCTTTTCTTTCGTATTCAAAATGAAAGAATACAAAAGAAGGTACAATTTTTTCACATACTATGTATTAAGTACTTTTTATAATAATGATTTGCTTTATAGTTCCTTTTCAGATATTACTTTTATTTTTTTCATATGGTAGTTGCCTTTAGAAAGAATACAGTAGTGGCAAGTTAAGTGCAAGAAGTCAAGGTAAAGTAGATACCTGAAGAAAATATAAAAACCTTCAGACTCAGTTTCCTGTAAATCTATGTGACATATCCTTCCCCCTTCTGCTGCAAAAGACCTTGCATATCCTGTTGATGGGGAACCAGGATCTCTATCTAAAACAGCTCGCAGGAAGCTTCAAAATATTTCTCTATTCCATTGAGCAGATGCAAATGATTTACCACAAACTTTTACACCGTTTTAAATCATAGTAAATTCCAGTATCTTTCAAAAAGTTCATTAATAGAAAACATTGCATGTTTTCAAACATAGAATAAAACGAGAAATTTGGATCTACCTAAAGAACTATTTCTAAGATGTCCTACTTACCATGCAAAACACACACTAGAAGGACAAGGTCTTGAAAATTATTTTCTATCGGTTGAAACACAATAAGCACTTTTAAGTCTGTATTACAAAACACAGCGAGCCAGGAAGTCTCTCAAAAAGGAGCAAATGTGGACACTCACCACTCCCCCATTATAAGAACTACAGAGAGCTGCTTGTGCAGTGCAGGCACCGGTTGGCCCCAGTTCCCGTGAGCCCGGCCGCGGGAATACAACATCCCCGTTCCCGGGTACGAGCGCTACCGCCGCACCGCCCTGCGGCTTCCCGCGGGTAGCTCGCCCGCTCCCACCCGCTCCGGCACCGCGGGGAATCCTGACCCAGAGGGCCCCGGAGAGAGCGCGGCAAGGGGCCGAGCCGGGCAGGAGGGCCCCGACCCGCGCCGCCAGACTCCATTCCCGCCTCCGGGGGCCGCGGGCACCGCTGAGGGGCGCTCCCTGCGCGCCTGAGGCACCCGGAGGGCGGCAGCACCGGGAGGCACCCGGCGGGCGGGCACGGCCCAGCCGGCGGCCGGCGCGGGGCGGCAGCGGCTGCCAGCGCTGGCTTCAGCGAGGGCTCGTCACACGGTAAACTCCACCGCCCGGCGGGGTTAAAGGAGAAAGCAAAGGAGCCAGTTCCGCAGAAGCGGAGCCGAGGAGAAGCTCTGGGTTTACCTTTGCACAGGACCCGTCCTGCTTTCGAGCCTCCAGACGCGGCCCCAGCGCTCCACGTGCCCCGGCGCTGTCACTCGCCGTGCGCATGCCCGGGGCACAGCGCTTCCCGGGAAGCGTAGGGAGAAAGGGAAAAGTCCAGCCAGTTAAGACTTTCCAGAGAAAATAAAAATAATAATTAAAAAGGTCCAAGGCTCATACTGACTATTGCATATTAAATAAAGCAACGTTTTTATAATTCATTCGGGGGGGGAAGGAAGTCTTCCCTGCCTAGGAAAAGCACAAAGTTCAGAAGGGTAAAGTTGAAGAGCTAGGCTTTGTTGTACTGCAATTAATGTTATTTTATTTTACCAATTTTTTAATGCTTTGCGACAACAATAAATTTAAAATGAATGAGTTTTAGGGGACAAATCTAATATATCTTGCAACAAGTATGTTGCTTTTGTGGAATGTGCATGGCGCCAGGTCATTTTTCTGGACCTTTTCTCGCCACCACTGATAGCAGCAAAGACATTTAGAAAGAATGATAAAAATCTCAGATTGCTCTACATTCTATCCAAAAAACAGAACCGTGACTATGACCAATTCTGACCAGCTGTATTGCAGCTGTCTATCAAAAGTTTTGGGTTTTTAGTTTTCGTCTGTCATCTCCTAATATACTGGATGCCTATGAATATGGAACTCACTCAAACTAATAGAATAGAACCTAATTTATCACAGGTCTGTGGTATTTTAGAAAAAGAGCACGTAATTTTTTCAAACTGGATTAGTTATAATTTTTGTTATTGTGGAATTTATAACTTGGACAGGTTCTGTATCATCTTGCTAACAAATTCCAGATTGTCCCAGTTACAGTTTACACAGGCATGCAAGTAACAGAGCAAGACCCAAATCCTGCCAGGTGAGCTCAAAGGGTGGCACATAAAGTACCTCTTTCAAGAATGTCAGGCCTTGTGCAAATTCACATAACAATTCCAAGACATCTGAGAGGAAAACTGTAGCAGAAAACAATTCCATGGTCATATAAAGGAGACTTCTGTAAATCATACAGATTTTTCATTTACAAGATGCTGAATTTTACACTTTTGACTTGTGAAGTACATTTGGATAAAATAAAATAATGCCAAAACCAAATTAAAAATGGTAGATAAAATGATGTTACATTTTAAACTGGAAACATAGGGGAGGAAGGCAAGACTTAACAAAGCATGCTGTGCTAAAGCCAGCGTTGATTTATTGAACAGATGTTCACTCACCCACTTCTTCAGGATTTCAGAACTCACAGGTGTCAGTTTCACATTTTAAACTGGTTTTGTTGGGTTTTTTTCCATAAAACCATAAGATCATTGGGGTTTTTACTTCAAACAAACTTCTCACCAGCCAGTCACATAACTTCCATCACTGCACATTATGTACGTGATTACTGACCCAAATGTCTACTGGTTAGAATTAAAACCCATCGAAGGAGGTACATACTTCAGCGCCAGTCTTAGTCAATTTTGAAGGTGCTCACAACTTTAGGCATTGCCATAAACTTTCATTCCTTAATTTTAAGATACATTAACTTTGAATTGCAATACATACCTATGGGATACTATTATCAGTTGCTCATTTTTTGCACAGTTGGCCTAAATTCCCATTTTAATTCTTTACAAGCCCAAGCGAGGTGTACTACTGGAGGAACCCTGCGCGCTTCCAGCACCGTGCAGGACGGTTCATTTTCCAGCCCTTGGCCATTTCGCAGGCCCATCGGCGGGGAAGAGCAGCACTGTTCCCGATGCACGTTTGGCTGGGAAGGGCCCATGTACCTGCCGCGCTCAGCCCCTGCGGCTCCTTCCCGCGCCGGCCCGCTCAGGCTGGCCCGGCGGGGCCGCGGCAGGGGCGGAGCGCCGCTGACGAGCCCGGGGAGGCGGGAGCCCCTCCTCCCCCAGCCGCTCGGGCTCCTCGCTAGCGGCCCGCGCCTCCGGCCTGGGCTGTGTCGCTGCCCGCGACCCCTGCACCGTGCCCGGGCCGGGGGAAGGCCGCTCCCGCCGCCGCGCTCCCCCGCCCGCCCCCGGCGCGCCGCCCCCGGGTCGCCGCTCCCGCCCTGTCCGCCACTGACGCAGTCCGTGCCGCACCAGCTCCAACATGGCGGCAGCGCGGCGCTGAGCAGCGCGGGGCTTCAAGGGCCGCCAGCGGGTGAGTGTCGGCCACGCCGCCGGGCAGCGCCGGGCGCCGGGCCGGCAGAGTGAGGGCTCTCGCCCGGGCCGCGCCGGAGGCCCGGCGGACGGTGGAGGAGGAGGAGGAGCAGGTCGCAGCGCCGCGGGGCCTGAGCTCGGTCACGGCGCGGGTAGGAGCTCCGGCCCCTCCCGGTGGCCGCTTCGGAGCGGGCCTGGGGCGGCCGCCCCCGCCGCCACCTCGCACCCGCCCCTCGCAAGGCCCGGCCGCCCGTGTGCGGGGGACAGGCGGAGCGCGGCGCTCGGCGGATCCCGGTGAGGGCGGCCCCGGGAGGGAAGCGGCGTGAGGAGCCGCGAGTGCGGCCCGAGGCAGGCGGGAGCGGCAGGGTGGGTGAAGCGGCGCACGGGCCTGGCGCGCATCGCAACGGGGGTCGGCTCTGGCAGGCCGGCTGTGCCGCTCCGCAGCCTGGCTGGCCGCGGGTCTGTGCCCGCAGCGAGCGCCCTGCTCGGGCTCGGCGCTGCCTGGGGAGTTTGAATGAGTCTTCTCTCCTCCCCTAGACGAGGAAGGAGCGGGGCTGTCTGCCTGCCACATGTTCTCCCTTCTGCAGGCCTCGCCTGGGAAAGTGGAGCCTGTAGGGGCTGCCGTGTCTGGCAGGAGGCTCCTCTGCATCTCTCTTTTAGGGAATTCCTAAGGCGTTCCAAAGACTTCTATGAGTATTGAGTTTCAGGCTCATTTTGTTTGTATCCATGACATACTGCATGTATATGGTTGTACTTTGAGGCCTTGAAGAGGCTTTGAGAGGCTTAAAAGACTTAAGAAATAGCTCACTGAAACTGGACAGAGAATCTGTTGTAGTGCTAAACATTGCTTTTAAGTTCAATCACCATTAGAAAATTTATAAATAATGGTAAAGTTGTTTTGGCCAGTAGTTTCCTAATGTTTGACTGGTGAAGTTAATTATATTTAGTAGTCATCTGAGACTTAATTTAAGAGACATGTCAGACCATTATTTTGCATATAGTCTATTTTCTAAGTTGCCTTTTTTTTTTTTGAGAGAATATTTTGGAGGTTTTGTGGTTTTTTTCTATATTGTCAGCAGAAGAGGCTGTTCTTTGGACAAGGATAAGTGTTACTAGTGGTTTTTTTGGGGGGATTTTTTGGTGTGGTTTTACGTTGTTGGGTTTTTTTTAAATCTTCCCACCATTTTGTTTCACTATTCCCATTGCATTGGGGTCCAGCATTGCTCAGATTTTTAGGTGCTACCACGATAAAAATAAGGTAGCAATTTGTAGGTTAGACATGATTTATGAAGCATTAGTTCGTCTAAACTCACAGAGTTTGATTTATCCTCTTGTAAAAATTATTTATAAATATTTCAGGAATAACGTAGTTTTCTGTATGTGCAGTAGATCTGGGGGTAGCATAAAAAGGATAGCAGCATTAGTAGTTCTCTGAGAGCACCCTTTGGGATTGCATTTCTCATTAAGACTTCCCATTCTTTCACTTCTGTGAAACAAACATTATTGCTTTCATTAGCTAGCAGCCATCAAGCTGCTATCAAGAGAAGATTTGGGGTTTTTCCTCACAGGATCTCAGAAAATCTGGGGATTATGAGGGAATTTAGAGTGAAAATATGTAACAGAGTGAAGGATTTTAGTGTGTTGCAGCATGATTTCTCTGATGGTAATTTAGGAGCCAGCTTCCATTTGGAAGGGAGTCAGTGAGTGCCAGGGAAAAGATGTGGCCATCTTCTAATGCAGTGAGGTTTAGGTCAGAGGCTGGGATAGAGCATGGAAGGGATCTAGAGCAGTAGAGAAAGGGGTAGAACACAAGAATAAAACATGGTACAGCAAGGTTTTTTGGTTTTGTTGACAAATATGGGTCAGCATTCAGAGCTGTCTTGCCTTACTCTCGTCTTCAGTAACAGGTAGGAAAGGATTCCACTGCTGAAATTAATTTTGGGATTTGCATGACTTGGAGATTGCACCCTGTAAAAGGCTTTTTCCCTGTTTCATACAGAGTATAAACTTGCCTTGTCTTAACACTTCTTAAGTTTTAAAATAAAAGTTCATTGATCCAAGCCTATTCAAACTCACAGCAACAAGGGCACTTATTTGTGTACAGACCTGACAGAAAACAGGTATTTTTTCACAAGTTAGGAAAGGAAGTACTTTCTGTGTAAATCAGATAATAGAAAATCATGGCTAAGACTTGATAACATAGATTTTTAGTTGCAAGAGCAACTAAACAAGAGCATGGTTGGATATTTTAGTATTTTTCATTGAAGGAATCCCTTTTCTAGAAAAATAAAGGGGATGATCCAGTAGGAGCCTGTGTTTCTGTGTATACAGTTTCAGAATGTTACTACCTTCTCAGCTGAATTTTATGCTCTCCCAGCTGGGGTGTTAAAACTGGGTGTGCATTCATTATACTTTAGTACAAGAAGACTAAATTCATGTTCATAATTGCAAGAAATCATACTGAAAGTGGTATAAGTGATTTACCAGTGCAGTAGGGTTAGGACTTTGTACTGCATATTTAGTCAGGACCTACCTAAGGGTGACAGATATTTTCTAAGGTCTCCCTTGCCTCAGGTCCATGGAAGACAACAATTGATATTGTCAGGTGTCTGATTTCCTTTTTTAGAGGGAAACAAATCCTATGTTGGTAGTCCAGTAAATACTTCTAACATTGTTGTAGAGAGGAGGCCTGGTGAAAAGTGATGTGAATCCTTTTTTGCCTGCAAAAATGTTGAAAGTTTTTTTTTATAGGTGGTTTTTCTTTTCTGTCAGACTGAAAGCTTATAATGCATGATTTTTAATGATGACTTGAAGGTCTTCCTACATAAATTTCATAGAGCTGTGTAGAAAGCAGATATTTTCTTTCTTATAGGTGTGTTAAATCCATGTGATTGCAAAGACGTCATCCTAAATCTGAAATGTGTTCTAGGGTAGCACATTATTCCTAAATTTGGCAACAAAAATCCTGTGCTGCTGCTTAGTGAAATGAAAAAAAATCATTTCCCTAGATGTCATTGCTGCTAATTCAGAATTTTGAAATCATGAAGTACTGAGGAAAAGATGGTGTTGTTTATGGAAAAATGCTAAGGAAACTATGGAGATGGAGGGTTGATGTGTTTAGGTTTTTGTTCACATCTTTGGAATCATGCTAGCATGGCTGCAAGCTCTGTCACAGCAATGGATCTGTGAACAAATTTTCATGTCTCCCATTTCAAAATAATAAATTCACTTCTAGTTTAGTCCATACTGGAAAGAACTTGTAGCATTTTTAGTCTGTGCCTCTGCCATCCCTTTGGGCTGGTAGGTGCTGCTGCCGTGTCATCCTGTGGAGGGAGGAGGAAAGCCTGGTTTTTGTGCAGCCAGGTAGGCACTTGTGTGCAAACACAACATGTGGGTGTAGGAACCCTCTGTTGTAGTATCAGCCCGTGTGTATATTGCCTTCAAGTGACTGCAGCCACAGCCTTAAAGAATATATGCTCTGTGTTCACTTTGTGCATTTGCATTAAAATGCGTTTCTGGAGATTCTGCGTGCGTGTCTTTGAAATATGTATCAGTGTAGTTTAGTCTTGCTGCCTTTGGATGGTGTGAAACAAAATGCTAGCAATGTGGATTTATGTACTTTGTTTGCTTCGTTTGGATGAATTGAGTGAAGATCAGTGCGGGTAATTGTAGGGTGATGCAAGGAAGCACAGTCAAAGGCAAGGTAAAGGAGAAATTAAAAATCTGGGAGAACTGGTGGGGACGGGGAAGCAAGTGAAGGAATAGGACACAATGTATCTTTTTCCTACTGAGTGTGTCTTTGCTTACTATTCTGTAGTGTACTGGGACTGAAACAAATCAGTAGTTCAGCACAGTTCTAAAGAAGGTTGTTTTTTCCCTCCTATAAAATGAGCAAATACTGCTGTGTTGCTGCTTGCTGTCACCTTCTTTGGGCTGCATGACGTGCTGATACTCAGTTGATGTGCATCTGTGAGTGCTTTTTGGCCTCTTCAGTCAAAATGCTCTAGTATGTGTTAAAAAGTACTATTACCAGATCCCTGCTGGCACGGGTGATTTTGGCTATAAAATTCCCTAAGGTGTGTTTTTTAAATACATCAACAAATATCAGTGATAATCCCTGGTGGAAAGATGCTTGTGAACAGTTTGGGATAATTATCTTTTCCCATTGGCACAGATCATTTTGGAGAAGAGCTGCTGGCAGCCTGGCTTTGAGCTGGCCAGCTTTATCTTGCAAATATTTAAATAAAATAATGAGCCTGATGGAGCTGTGAAGTAATGTGAACCCTGAGGGACACAGTTGGTGAAATGTTGGTTGTGGATGCAACTGTTCTGAGAAGAGTGAGTACTTTTGATGTAGTCATCAGCAAACACCAATATACTCTAACCTGAACTGTAATTCTACTTTCAGACATAAAAGAAACAAGCCCTTTGTTTAGATATGCTGAAGTGGTGTTCTAGGTGCTTGGCTGGCTTTGAGTTTTCTTGGTTATAGATTCTACTTAGACTAAATAAGAGCCTCTTCAAACAGAAGGTGGTTGACAATGATGAATAATTAGTAAATTTCAGAGTAGTACTCGGGCTGATACTTTGTCCTTTCTTAGAGTTTTGGAAGGAAGAAGTGAGCTAACTTACCGGGATTGTCCTGCATAGCACATTTTTTGAATGTA